TCATGTCAGTGATAAGGTTGTAGCAATTCTCCGTTTTTTGTTTGCCTACAAAGAAAATCAAACGTTCAGCGCGTTTGATGGGTTTAAGTGTGGTGAGAATATCATTTGTTCATCCAAATACTACAGTACTGATTAAATTACTCAATCATCATCAACGAATGAACAACACTGCAATTAGTTTGTCATTATATTACTTTTGCATTACCCGTAAAGTTATCTTTGCACCGATGAGACTAAAACAAATAAAAGACTTTGAAGGTTGTAACCACTATTTACAATTTCTAGCAAAGGGTGACTTATCTTTCACAAATAAATTACACAAAAATCCGAATAATGATCTATCTATAAAGGTTAAACAGATGCAAAATTTTTAAAAATGATAGATTGTTTCATAACTGTAGGCGTTTAATGGAAGTGCATCAATGCACGGGCTTGTAATAATTTGTTATACAACTGAAATAAGCCATAGTTTCTTGTGTAGTGACAAGTAGCTCCCTAAAATAACCCTCTATTATCCGAAAACTGATTTTGACCTCGTCCGGTTTAATAGATAATACCGAATGAATGTATTCAATCAAGCGTCGAAGAAGAGTCTAGAAACAGCCCACTAGAGAATCTACCGTTTTGTCAGGTGTCCGGTTTAGTGTTCTTAGATATATCCACTTCTAACCGTGTTGAAACGTATCTGTCTATTAATCCTTATTATTTACCTCCTAGTTTACTGCAGATATACAATCCTTTAGTTGTTTTGGATTTGAAAAAAGTTAAGTTCTGTCATGATCAGCTCGTATTCACATATGTGGAGAATAGATGACTGAGGCTTTTCGTCGAGCTGTTAGTTTTATTTTATATCAGCTCGATCACGATAAATCAAAAAAAGATAGTCAGCAGGCAACGAATCAACGAATGAGGAAAATATGCACACGTGGTACGTTTTCGTTTTCGACCACTAGGTTGTGTAACAGTCATTAACCAGTCAAAGCTAAAATGAGAGAAACGCCAATTTACGATCTATGTATAAATCAAAACTGTATACAATGTAGAAGTGTGGAGAGTAGGCAATATATTTAAATATGGCCTCTCGAAATATCATATCGTGAAAATTCTGCCTCGGTCAACACAAAGAACCTAAACTCTCAATGGAAGGTCGCTCTTGGTTGACTCTTCAGAGCGTGTTGAAGCTTGTAACAAAAGAAAGCGTAGACACCAGTTTTAACACGATGGTAAACTCAACTCCCCTACTTTATTTGTAGACAACTTCAGAGGTTTTCCCAACGCCATTTAGAACAAACTTTCTGCCTCTTTTTAAGGTTTACAATGTCATTATGCCTCCTCTCTTCAAAATAGATAAAAATATCTTAGACCAAGTACAAAGGTGAGTAACCAAGTAGGTGATAAGGCTAAAACACAGATCTTCCAAGGACAGACTACAGCACCTACGATTATTATCTCTGAGCTGCAGGGGAACAAGAGGCGATCTGATAATGAAACACAACATATTAAGTATGCCGAATCGCCTAAACACGAACATATTACCAGATCATCACTGATCTCCGTGAGGCAAATAGTGAGCACCAAAGTATGCTCTTACGTTTTCCCATTATAAGTTGCCTGCACTCGAAACTGTCTCTCAGTCAAAGTGATCACATCCCCCTCAGTGGATGGAGACTTGACAAGAACGTAATCACCCATGGATTACCATCCCACGCTTAGAAGAACTTTGTCTGATACATATCACAGAAATTACCATGGTTATCATTACAACATATCAGTAACCACTTTTTATCTCTCTTATCATTATCTTAGTTTTCGTTTTATTCTTCTAGTTTCGCCCTCTGACAAATTGTCAGTTAGGTAAATTAATTATCTATCCTTGATTATAATTATCTTCCCATAGCACGTGAATTCTCACATTATTTTCACATTGCAACCAACCAACTTCCTGTCCTATAGTTTGATATTCGTTGGTATTCAGAAACCTTGATGTTCTGAGACAAGCGTAGTGACTCAACTACAAAATATAATAATCCGACAGTAACTACCACACTGAATAGAAGTAATTCGGTCGAGTCACTGGATTATCGCCTACAAGCTTAGAACATAGATATTGGATATTGGATTAGCCTTTGTTTATCTACCTTAAAAGTCCTAGATACCTAGTACAAGCTGTTTGATTGTTTAGAAATACAAGTTTACATGTAATTTCTGCTCAGAAGACTCAAAAACTCAAGAAATGTATGGTTATTTTGACATCTGATATCATTCAATCGACGTTTGCGTGATAAGTTTGTTTACAAGGGTGAACCTCATCCACAATGTTTTATTTCGCGGATTAATTATGACATGTCATACGACCATCACTAAGTTAATAAAATTCGAGAACTAATCATACGGGATGAGTCAAAGGCTAGTGCTTGGTTTTCGTTTTGTTAGAACGACTCATGGGGTGACAAATGGATCTCGGAATTATTTTGACCAAAAAAACCTACCTGAGCTTCCAATTTTGAGGAAATTTTGGGGAAATCCCCAAAGTCAAATGACCTTGACCAAGGTTAAAGGGGAATTCGGGGGATTCCCTCACGTCTGGGTAAATTTTGGGGTTTTTGTGTCATTTCTACAAAACTTACCGTAGCGGCTTCCCCAAAATGTGCCAAATTTTCCCCAAAGTTAAGAGCTCGGGTAGTTTTTACAAACATTTTAGTTTGTGAAGTGATAATATAACAGAAATTATTCGTTTATCCAAAAATTAAGATAACTGACGGAAAGTTTATTAGGAGCAGACAATATGAACACATTTGGCCAAACAGGTTGTTAGTCCCTGAAACGTAACATTTGGGACTACCTTTACATTGACATGCTGGCTGCTTCTTTCTTTGCGCTTTGTTATTATCGTCAGCCATCTTTGACAATAATACCTCAGAGTATGTAGATGACTAGATAACTGTTTGTATGATTTCTCTATTATCAGCCATAAATATATGTATGTATATGTGTGGTTGATAGTAATCTACAACCCTATATGGTTGTAGATTTCGAGAAACCACACAGTCTGTGCGTACTCATTTTTTGGCAACAAAAATAAAGACGGTTCAATAACCACTTGAGCAGGGATTTCGCCAGGCGCAGATATTTAGCTAAAATTAGTATTTAACTCGTCTATGAAGCCACATACTTAGTTCATAAAAGCTGATGATCAATACCAAATAATTTAAAAATTGAAGAAAACTATCTTCCAATTACTTTTATCTACATAGTACCAAAATAATGAGTTCAGATATGAAGTCGCCTGGCTTTACTAACTGTGGTTCTAAGTAGAGAACATAAATAAACGACCAAAAATTACTGGACAGTTCCAACTTAACAAGATCTATTGTCTTTTCTTACTGGCTGTTAGGAAATAGCCTATATACTTGATATTAATAATTCGTAATTTATTTAGGACAATATACCAAAGTGATTAGAAGATTTTTCTCATTTTCAAACATTGGTAATACATTTAGTTGTGTTGCTTAGATTCACCTGTTCGTACGAAGAATCATGAACGTGGTTGTGTATTTGAATATAAAACTCCAGCAACAGTTATAAAAATAAATAACTAAATTAACTAATTCGTAGCGTAGAACTATGGTTCAAATGGATGATTTCAACGGAATTTTATTTCCTAAACTGGATGACTGAAAAGTTCTTATCGTCTTTCTAAACAGCATTCAGGTAAATGATCTAGCAAAACACACATTTAGTAATTTAACTATCTTGCCTATTCTGAATGGATGACTTAGAGGTCGGTTTGTTTTTTCATTTGCTTGTCTTATCTACAATAAGATTTTACTCATGATTGACAAGTACGCAGAAAACTACATTATCAATAAATAGACTCAAAACCAAATATGGACAGCATTTTCATTTGGAAGCAAAATATCTTCGGATCACACTACACACTATTTAGTTTAAAGGTTAGCTTGAGCACTATTATTTCCATATTACTAGTTTATGTCTGTGAAACCATTAGGAATACCTGCAGTTTTCGTCATGATAATTTTGGAAAGCACTTTTTCAGTTAAAACAAAACGAAGTAAACACAATACCGTTTACTAAATAATCGCTAACTCCGGAAATGAAAACAAAAATCGAACATTTATATACATACTGAAAGGTGTGAAAGCAGACTAGACATTATGCTAAAAAGGTAAATATTGGAAATTTCTTGTTGTGAAAGCAGAATAAAGAAGATACTTCCTTTCACGAGTCTTTTTTTATGATTTTATTATTTTCGAACTATATACTACATCTTGTCTGCTTTGTCGACCCTTTCTCATATATCAAAAGTTTGGTTGCCTTTCATCTGATTGAGTCCTTTAGTCACTTGTTAAACACAACAAACCACCATCTACCTTTTTGCACAATGTTGGACAACATAGAAGTAGGCTAGTGAAAAGCTTCAGTCAATCAAACAAAATATTGGCCCTTATCATTGATTACTGTAATGAGTAACATCGGTAACATTAGACTCCGGAGTTCTTCTTTTCTTGATAAGCGTAATTCATATATCCCGATGTTGAATAATATGGCCTAAAATCCGTATCAGTAACCCAATGAATTCCACTGAAGCAAATACATTTATGTTGTTTATTAATATACGTAGTATACAATGGGTTTACCGACGTAATTTAGTCAGCATGTTAAATCGTCAGAAAGCCTTTTTTTTGTTCGAATTAAGTAATGATCAGTAAATTTTTCATTTTTTATCACTTAATTCATATCTGTAACAACCTGGTCAGCATGTTTACAGTAATTATTATTCTTACGTCTCCGGAAACGTTTAGAAACCCATTAATTCACTGTACATATTTGAGGTATTGATGTCGTTACAATTCGTGTATTTTATTGCCTTTTATGTTATAATCTGTGCCTTATTTATTCGATAGATTGCAAATTTTAGTACAGTATACAAGTTGAGCATTCTCCCACTGACTATAAATCAATAGAAAAAACAGACAAAAATGGCACCAAAAAGAAAAAAGAAAACCGGGAAACTAACAAAAATGACTGATGAAGAAAGAGCGATTTTCCTTGAACAACAAAGAGTTGCTGAAGAAGAACTAAAAACAAAAAAGATGGCACTGTTAACTCAATATCTACAAGTCAGTTTTTTAATATAATTCCCTTCAATTTGAAAACTAACGACTGTTAATATAGGATAAACTTAATCATGAAGAAAAGTTTACTAAACTTAATAAAGCAAAACTGACACATTATTGGCGAACTATTATGAGAGAGACGAAGTCAAAAGAATTGAAAAGAACTATAGAAATATTATCACAAACATTTGAAAGAATTATGGACCGGTAAAGCGTCAATATCTTAATTTTTTATCAATTTGTTTGTTCAATATTTTTCAAAGAAAAGAAAGTATCATCAAAACACTTGTTGCGGATCTTAGTGAGGCAGATGAACAGCATTTGATGGCTCTGCGTTCTCATCTACAGAATGTAGATATTTTAATAGGTAGATAGCGTTTTTCGTTTGACCTAAAGAACTTATACTGGTTGATTATTTCATCATGACCTGTATATCACACCCAACAGTTTTTTTGCCCTTGAATTTGTTGCTTGCATCGGTCGATTAGATAGTCTTGGATGAAAGATATGAATACTACTTGAAAATATTTGACTCGTGGTAATAAAGCTTTCCAGGTTGCAATAATAATAATCTCACGTATAAATGAAAAGTAAGAGGAACATATTTGTGGCATTAAAATCAATTTAACCTGCTAGCGAGAAACGTCTATCAATTTACGATGCAGTGCCTTACTACTTTTGGGACTCGCTAGTGTATTAATTAATTCTACTAACTACTCTGTTGTGAGGATCGTATTCTATAGAATTTTACTAAGCAGATTAATAAAGGAAATCGTAGTGAACTTTTGAATAAATATCCGAGAATTTATTTATTTATGTAAAATTTAACTATACAATATAGTTCAATCAGTCAACTTTTTAACAGAATTTCTTTGCGTAATAACCATTCATGTAACAATTGATTATCCGATGAGATATCAATATTGCGGTATAGTTGCATTAAATCATATTTACTATCATTATCACGATGTGATATATTTGACCAACACTATTTGGATTATGTAATGAGTAGCTGAAGACATTGTTGCTCATCAGTGATGTTTATCATTATCATGAGTAATTCATTATCGTCAACCACTTGAACATCCATTTCGCTAATAATAGTCAGTCATCACTATACTATTTGTGGTATAGATGAAGAATTAAGCTATAAAATCAGCTTTGCACATTGGTTGTCATTGTTAGATAGATATATTCAAAAATACTATATTTATATGCAGGCAAATAAATGGGTGTTATGCTAAACTGTAACGTATTATTGGTTTGTTGGTTATACTATTGCAATTAGTGGTTGTCATTTGGTTGACGCTCATTTGTGACAATTCGAACTTTTACTGGTCATCAGTAAAATTTCAGACGTTTTTGATGTCATACAAGTTACAAACAAATCACAAGGTACCCACTAAAAATAAAGGTCTGTGGTAATAAAAATTCATAATGATGCACAGTTGACGACTGGAACTGAAAAACACCTTGTCTGTGTAACAAAAGTAAATGAAAGTATTGTGAAAAAATCGTAGAGGGGAATTCATAAACTAATAACAAAAATGAAAAAACCGTTGGCGGTCATAGTTCACGTAAGAAGTACATAAACCTTGCGAAGGCTCTTTACTCGAACACTACCAGTTGAGTCAGAGCCTATGGCGAACTGTCATCTGCTTTTGCAACCTCAAATGGTGTCCGTCAAGGCTGTCCACTACCTCTGTTTTTTGTTTAACTTCATCATAGACCGACTGATGGAAATAACGTTCACGTCGACTGAATGATCGGGCATTGAACTTGATATGATACAAAGAAGAGTCAATTTTCGACTGATTTACTCGTTATGAGTTTTGTTCAGCATTACTTTCCTTCTCATTCAATGTGATGATCATTCAGTGTAGTATTTGATTTGTTTTCCCAGTATGATATTTTCTTCTGCATAATATACGATATTCTTGTATTCACCTGACATGAAGTATGCTCAGTAAGTGATTTGTTATAACTGAGTATGTGATTTGATCCTAACTATTATTCAAAATGGGTGTACAATCAATGTATAAACCAGTGTATTTTAGACTATATTGATTCGTCGTCGTCATAATGTTTTTGAGCTAGTAAATTTTCACTTATACCAGTCTTGTCTTCTTACCTTCGCATCGTGGGAATTGCCGAGGTCCCTCATTCCGAGTATAAGTGATCAGTGTTTTTCCTGCACAGCAATCAGCGACGACCGAATATAACAGATCTCCTCCCGTGAGGTTCGCTTATCGACTTAGAATACGCAGATGACATAGTCCTGTTTGGTGAAGACGCTGATAAAATGCAATCTTTTGGTATCACTAAGCAATGATGCCAGAATATTTAGAACGCGCTTCTCTCCCTCTAAATGCAAGTTGTTGCTTCAGGACTGGTCTGCGTCAACATCTGAACTAAGGATAGGGATTGAAGTAGTCGAACACGTCGACAACTTCAATTATCTTGAAGGTCTGTTCAACACTAATGGGTCGGTGTCTGACGAAATCTCGGCACGGATTCAGAAATCTCTTTTAGCTCTTTCCAACTTACATCACCTATGGCTAAGGAGAGATACCCGCTTATCAATTAAGGGACGAGAGACAGTTCGTCCTGTTCTACTTTACGGCTGCGAAACGTGGGCAATAAGGGTAGAGAATACTCGTAAACTACTAGTATTTGATTACAGATGTCGTAGAAATATTGCTCGCACCTTCTATGATCAGTGGGTAAGTAATGGTGAGGTTATACTCAGAGTATTAGGGTATGATGGTATTCAGTTGATGAGGTTGTGAATCTTCACTGACTGAGATGGTTAGGCCACGTGTTGCTTATGCCTGAACACTGATTACCACGACGTGCAATGCTAACCGGTGTTGCGGATGGTTGGAAGAAGGTTAGGGGTGAACAAACAAAAACGTGGAATCAGTTCATAAAGTCATTAACTTCGAATCCGAGCCATGTCGGCAGATGCAGACTACGTGGTTGGGGTCCGCGTGACTCTCGTAACCAATGGTTGGAGACTCTTGGTGACATGGCTCAGAATCGATCACAATGGCGTAGGTGTATACACTCCCTGTATTCCCTTAAACTATGAGATTAAATCGCTTCATATCTTTCTTTCTATGTACTAGACCTTTCTTCCTGTACTATATTCTAATATGAAATCTTTTTTTTATATATCACGAACATTGACCTGACTACTCCTATGAATCTGGTGTTCATCTTGATGTGCTAATGTAGTATGACAACTTGGACCGATGCACATATGTGCCTGGTCCTACGTTGTAGCTGACTGACTGATAGTTCACGTAAGAACACTGTGTAGAAATTTTTTATTCAAATATGAGTATTTCTTGTTAAAACACAAAATAAATACACAGCAAGATACTGGACTCTTTTCATTTCGATATTTAGCAATATTTCAATCCACTATCTAGAAATTATCGATCTTCCAACAAATGTCAACCTTACCATTATACCCTCTATATTTACCATAGGTTGAAAGTACTTCTAAAGAAATACGAACTCAAAGACATTTTATGAATATAGGTAAATTGATTAGACAAAGGTCGTATTTGCTAATTGTTCTCGATTACTGATAGTTCCAGTCTTACACAAAAGACCAAAATCCTCTTATGGCAGCCACCAAGAAATCAGGTTGACTAATATAATGTCTAAAACACCAACGCTTAACTAGGCTCGTGAAGGGCGAACTTGATGAAATCATGTTGGTTTTGATACTGGACATGGATGTGTAGACTAAACATTCACTCTTTGCAAGATTGTGGAACACAGACATACCTAACAACTTCCATCCCTAGTTGTGTTTCTCGGCCTTAAGGCAGTGTTCTCCTCTTTAAATCGACAAGTTATTTTAGCATTTACTATCATTTAAAGAAAAACGTCAACATTATCTGGAATTCATATGGTGGATTACAGTGCAAAGTGGTGCATGGAAGACAGCTGATGGATGCTTCCCAAGTAAGGGCCAGAGCCAAAAAAGACTGTCTACTATCCCCTTCCTCTTTCTTCTGGTGGTCGATTGGATTATGAAGACTTCGACGTCTGAGAGGAAGCACGGAATATAATAGACAGCTCCGAATCAATCAGGAGATTTAAATTTTGCGGATGACCCGGCCCCTCTATCCCATACACATCAACAAATACAGATGAAAACAACTAATATCGCAGCAGCCTCTGTATCAGTAGGCCTCAATATACACAAGGGAAAGAGCAAGATCTTCAAATATAATACAGAGAACACCAACCCAATCGCACTTGATGGAGAAACTCAGGAAGAGGTGGAAACTTTCACGTGCCTGGGTAGTATCATCAATGAACAAGGAAGGATCTGATGCAGACGTAGAGGTGAGGATTGGCAAAGCAAGAACCTCATTCATATAGTTGAAGAACATATGGAACTCAAAAACACTGTCAATCAATATCAAAGTCAGAATCTTCAATGCGAACGTCAAGATAGATCTACTGTACGGAGCTGAAACTTGGAGAATTACCGCAACTATCATCAAAAAGGTACAAGTATTTATAAACAACTTTCTACGTAAGATTCTGAATGTCCGTTGGCCGGATACCATTAGTAACAGCCTACTATGGGAGAGAACAAACCAACTTCGAGCTGAGGAGCAAATTAGAAAAAGACGTTGGAGGTGGATAGGACACACATTCAGGAAATCATCAAAGTGCATCACGAAGCAAGCGCTAACTTGGAATCCTAGTGGGAAACGAAAAAGAGGAAGTACAAAAAGCATACTGCGTCAAGAATTGGAAGCAGATATGAAAAGGATGGAGAGCAACTGGAAAGAACCGGAAAGGAATGCCCTGGACAGAGTTAGATGGAAAATGTTTGGGAGTAGCATATGCTCCTCCATGAGTGGTAAAATGCTATAGTCAGTAGTTCAGTATCATTTAAAGATGCATCAAAGGAATATATTACTTTAGTCAAAGTTTTCTCGAATATTATAATATTGGATCAAAGCATGTAGGAAACTTCCATCGTAATTGATGATTTCAAGTGCCACAACGATGAACACATGTGCAAGGCTTTACAATAGGTAGGACTGACTTCGCAACATCGTTCATCAATAGAAATACTTAAATCTAGGTGACATATAGTGTCAGCACGGTTTTCTTCTTCAGCAAGAAATGTAAGTACATTCTGGATATTCACAACATTCTCCAACATTCATTTTATAAAATTTACTAGCACATACTTCTATAATGAATCTGTATTCATTCCCTTACAAGATCAGTCGTCCAATTAAGTCCTTCTCATTGAGTAATTAATGGTTAGGAAAATACTAATGACTGATTCGATTTTGTAGCTGTCTTATATAAAACAGTTTAGTAAGGTGGAATTTAACATGCTTTATTTCAATCAATATGAGATAAGGAGTTGATGATCATCATTACGTAACTATAGTGGTACTTAAACAAGAGTTAATAAAATAATTTTGTCCTATTTGTTAGATGTAATTAATTTTCTCACTTCATCTTTCTTATGAAAATTAGATTTACAAAATCAAAGATTACATAAATTAAAAACTAATTATGAAAAGGAATTGCACTCTTTGGTAGAAGAATTCTTAAGAGGTAGATCGTATATATATATTCTGTATTTAAAACTGTTCAAATAACATACTTTTCCGCAAATCAGAAGAAAACTTTACTAAGCAACAACACGATAAACAAGTCTGTGACTTAAAAGATATATTTGTTGCACTGGATTCTACATATACTGCCAAAGCACATGAAGCTGTAATTGATCAGACTAGTTTGAAGGATGATCTGAAGAATAAAGTAAGTCAATTGATATTTCTATGGATTTTATTGACTTTGAATTTAAGACTTTAGATATCACTCATGTTACTAAGACATTGAAGTAAAAATACAATTTACTTGAGCTAGAATCCACAATTTTTCATCCCAGTACAGTTAAGTAATATGGTTATATCCGATTTAAACTGACATGAACTTTTAGGTAACGTATGTTTTGGTTAGTTTTAAAAATCCCCCTACTCTCATGCTTAAAATCAAACAACAGAAGGTTAGACGAGTGATAACATTTATCTTTACCATCCAGATTTCTGGTTGTATAAGTACAATACCAAGGTATAACATTCAGCTTTTAAAAATCTTTATTCATGCATAACTAGGACATTACTTTTACAAAGCTCTGTAACACTAATTATAATTAAGTGACTTTAGTTGATAAAGTATAGACGATATTACAGCAATAACCAAGTTAAGCGTCTGTAGTGGAATCATCGAGTGAGTAGTGATAAAGTTGCCCAGAAAGATTCAGATAAAGATGAATCGGCTGATAAAATCATATGCAACGGTGATCATTAAATTGATTGAGAGATGTGATACTGTGACGTGTGCTGCTTATGTCGACAGACATAAGTAGTATGTAACATTGTTTTGTCACCCTATCCCACTTTAAAATAATTAGCGTAGGCCGAAGAGATTTACATTATGTTAAACAAGTGAAGATTAATTAATGCAAAATGGGAGGCCACCAGGCCACTAACTGTTGATATGAGTTAAGTATGAAAGTGGAGGTTTACTTTCATCCTGACGTCAAAAGTAAAGGTTGAAGATTGTTAGTTGTATTGTCGAAAATAGACTCCAGATCCTCATTTATTACGTTCTCCGCTTTTAAATTTTAGTTTTATGCACATATATAAAGTCTACTCATATATTATTCATCGTTTGGTTTTTAATCCTAGAGTGTTCATTAATTTTTTATTTGAGGATAATATTTATCATGAGCTGATATCAGTTATAGGGTTATTGAAGACTAGTGGGTAAATGAAGAGATATTTCGCGTAACTTAGAACTCTCGATCAATGTGAACCAAATGGTGCTACATGGAATCGATCCTAGAACCTTTCAGCTTCATAGAGAGGATTTTATTTATACACCTGAGTTAGAATTCATTGGTTTAGATATTCAACTTCTGTGAGTTTTGACAGTGTTATGCCCAATTAATTTTGTTGTCAAGGTATCACTTCACTGTCGATACGGTTGACTTCAAACCCTGTGATGCTAATTTGTGTGGATTTTAATATAAATCTGATGTGTTTTATCTCTTTTCTAATTCACTGTCATCCACAAGCTTGATTAAACTTCTGCTACGTAAGTTATGTTACTTAAATTTGTTATATGTAGTAAACAATGATTCGCATATATTTTTCATATAGAGTTTGGAGGAAAAACATACATTGAGAATAAATTTGGAGAATAAGGTCAATACTTTGTGGTCTGAATTCAAACAGGCTTCCACTCAATACACAACAACTACCAATGAAAAAAAGACATCTTTCGAAAACTTAAAAGCAAAAGATGAACGTTCAGCTGCTGAAATTCAATTACACTTAAACAAAATCCAAAAAATCAATGATAATATATCGGCTACTAGACGTCGTATGTTAAAAACATCTAAGGAATATGAAGAAAAAAATCGCAACTTAAAAGAAGAACGTGATAAGTTAATTGTTCGATTTCAAGTCTTGAAGATACAAATCAATAAATTACGTGATCTACAACATGAAAAACTGGTTAAAATGTCAGTTGAAAGTGGGGATGCTATAAAAAAGGTAACTGTGAAAAATACTAATTGTTAGTATTTCTTATGAAACTACGTAGTCATGAATAGTAGATTTTTTAAAATTCTCATTTATCAGTGCTAACAAAAATTCAAGACAGTTCAAAGTAAATGACTGCTTAGCTTATTCTAATAAGAGGATGGATTCAATCACAGTTAGCATCTCAAAGAGGGAATAAGCTACTATGAAATTTACAAATGAAAGCTTAGTGAAATCAATGTAGTTACATATTCAGTTTTTATTTGCTCTTAAACGTTCATACTGTAAATGAATTCATGTAATTTCTAAAAAAATTTAAATACAGGTTCAATGTTTATTGGAAAAAGCAGAGAAAATTATTAAGTTAGGTGAACAGTGCAGAAAGTATGAGACGGAAGAGGAAAAAGTTACACCATTCTATTCATCATCTTTATCAGCGGAAGAAGAAAGTGCTGTGCAAGAATCGTTCGAAAAAGAACAGAATGAAGAGATGATGAAGGTGATATATTTTTAATATTTCCTTTGTTTTATCAATTTTCTTACTTTTCGGTTTGAATATATATATATATATATATATCAGTTAGAGCAGTTTATTTTCTGAATGATATTCAGCTGGTCTTTTATCGTTCCATCTTTTGGTTTGCATAAAATTGAAGTGCTCCTACTGGCTTGTGACCAACGCCTGTTCCCAATGCAATTGTGACTTCCTTTATTTTCTGCATATGTGGCAGGATAATTCGTTTTTTAGTTTCAATATTCGATTTTGTACTTATTGATGGAGTTGATAAACATAGTGGCTGTCCTGTTGAAAAGATCGTTTTATTTTGTTCCTCATTTTTTGCGTGGTAGTTATACTGCTATGTCTTCGCTCTTCCGAATAGCAAGTTTGTATGCAGTTGTTTTTGATCAACTTAGAATTAGTGCAGCACAGGTTGGTTTATGATACACAAGAGTCTCTGGTTTCCTTGTATTGATTCTGGTGATCAGCACATCTAAGAAGACTAGTCAGTTGTTTGCTTTCTTTTTAAAGATGAATTTTATATCATCAAGTATGTTATCGATCAAATTATAGGCGTTTTCGAGCTTAGCTATTAAACCAACCAGGTCGAGAAAACGTAGCTTCAACAAAAATCATCATCGTGAGTTAGAAAATCCTCACCTTCATCTCACATGTTTTCTTTTCAAAAAGCTCACATATGTCAACGGAGAACAACCAGTTTAGATGAGCAATTATTTCTGTGTGAAAGTTTTTAATTATTTTTAGCTAATAAATTAATTTATAATAATATTCTGTTTTGATTTTTGAAAATTTCAGATATTAAAACGATGCCTTCCACTTGAAATGTTTTGGAAAAGATTTAATAAAGTTCAATTAGATCGTTTAGCAATAATTAAAGAATACAATATGTTAGAACAAGAAAACATTCAATTAAAATTATTATTGAAACAATATTTAGACGGTATATCAGTTAATAGTGAAGTTATATCTGGTGATAATTCATTAATTGTTATAAATGGACGATCAAATTTAAAGTGAGCTTTATAAATCTGATAATATTAACCCTTAATGGATATTTGTTTTCTGCTTAAGTGATTATTGATTATAATGTTCTACATTTAAGTGTTATAGCAACTTAATTAGTAATTGAATCTTGTTACCAAAGTTTTAACGCACGGAATAGTTTATTACTCTTACTATAAAGCCCAAGCCTGTTGTAAAATGTTTGATAGTAGCGTCTTTATTGTCCCTTATCATCACAGTAAATCTAGTACTCGAAGTATACGCAGCATTAATTACAGAAAATTTTCACTTTTATAGGATGTCTGAGACTGTACCAAAAAAATCAACTGATATTTACTCGTAAATACTCGAAATAGATTTCCGATAGATCACGAATATGTTCGCCGTCTCATATAGATAGTAGTGAAAACCAACATCACCAATGGAACTGGAATTTTCTATCGATGACATTTTGACACATGAAATTGATATGGGATGCAAAAGTGTTACCTCACTTCATTTCCTTCAGTATTCCATAATGTAACATAAGATGCAGTGTAACGCAGTAACTATAAACCATATTCTGTTTCTACATAAAAATCCAACCAATATAATCCTATGTTACAATCGATGAATTTCTAACGATCATGGTTATCCCTAATCAATTTAGTATACCTGCAAAAAATGACATATTTTCTCATTAATATTTTTTTCGTGTTTCTTTATTTCCTTTTAAAGACACATGAGCATAATAGATGATCCACGAATTAGATTGATATCTACTGATGATGATAGTGTACAGCCGAAAGAAATGATAAACTATGCTACTACTCCCGCCGCAGTCGACTATCGAATAAGACAGACAACTTAGACAAAAGGATTCTACAACAAGAATAATATAAAATCCAAGGCATGACATAACAATGATGAGGATTTTATGTGATTTACTATATGCCTACAAAGTAATTCAATGCTGAATCAAATTAAAGAGGTGGCTGATATAGAAATACATTGTTCATAATAAACGTTTTGTTTCTCGTTGAAAAATTTATTCAGTGTTATGACCTTGACGTCTGGTCTTTCTATCACACGACTTATCTACCAATCCGAATACGACTTATACGAATCTTCACACTAGGCCAACCAATGACGTTCAAGCGGTGTGGGCAGTTTAGCGTCCTTATTGGTCCTATGTCCTACGAGCCCTTCCACTTGAGTACAAAACACAATACCAGCTTCCGAATATGAATCGAATCGTTTGTTTCATGCATACTTGGTTTATATATCAATCACACAGACCGCAACGTACCATAAAATAGGAAATAATATTTGTACACAAATAAGCCCAAGAAGTGGCTGTGAATGTGGGAGGCAGTAGTTAATAAACTGAAAATAACTTAAGAACCGTAAATCGTACAATAATAAATTATAGGTCAAAACAAAGTTTATCATAAAAGGAATATAAATATCCATAGTGTAATTGTTGAGTAGTTATACAATAAGAATATTTATAGAATATTAGTCCATGAATAGTCCTTGGAATTTACCTGTAGTTTAATCTTCACCGGATATAACACCTCCCTTTTTTTGAAGCATTAGAGATAATAATGATCCTTAGGATTTATTTTTATTCGATTAGGTTTTCGTCTGATGCGCTGCGACCTCCTTGGGAGTGTTTCACACGTCTCGTTATTATTCGGATCATTTTTAATTTCATTATTCGACTCAGTTAATATATTTATTGGTATATTCGACTTTGTAGCATTTTCTGTCTCTCGTTCTTGTCTGGTTGGCTGTATCTGGTTTGCATGTCTCACCCATATCTTTTGTCCAACTATTACTTCGTAGATAACTTTCCCTTTTTTTCGTATTATGCCAAACTTCCAAGTTGGCTTTACTCCCGTGAAATCTCTTGTTATTACCGCTTGTCCCACCTTAAACATTCTGGGCAATGCACCGTGCCGCTTGTTGAATTGCTGTTCCATTCGTTTGTTCTTTCGTAGGTTGGCCCTAAGCTTTGGTTTCATTTGCTCCATAGGTATTCTAATCTTTCTGCCAAAAATTGCTTCTGCTGGGCTTTCTTGATTATTTGTTGCTGGGTTTGGTGTTGCTCTGTAGGTTTGTGGAAATCTTTGAATCATCTCTTCCATTTCCTCTTCTCCCTCAGCTTTAAGTAATGCTCTTTTAAATGTATCTACGAACCTCTCAACTAGACCGTTTGACTGTGGATGATATGGGGGTGTCTTTAATGCCTAACTGCATTTGCGATGCAGAACTTCGAGAATTCAGCGGAGGTGAACTGTGGCCCATTATCAGACACCAATACGTCTGGACACCCAAAACAGCTGAATACTTGTCTCAGTTTTTCGATAGTGGCTTTTGTCGAAAGAGATTTAACGTAGTGGATCTCTGGCCATTTTGAGAAAGCATCAATCATCACTAAGTACTGTTTCCCGTTTATGGGACCGGCGAAATCTACGTGTACTCTTGACCATGGATTTGTTGGTGTCCCCCAACTCTGCATTTCTGTCTTACGAGGGGCTTTGATAGCTTTTGCACACGCAGAACATGTCTCAACATACTCTTTGATCTGAGCGTCAATATTCGGCCAATATACATATCCACGTGCAAGTACCTTCATCCTTGCTATCCCCGGGTGCGCGGCATGCAGTTGTGACATCAACTTATGGCGTGAATTTGTGGGTACAATTACTCGATTTCCAAACATCAAGCATCCATCCACAAGTGATAGGGAATTCCGACGGTTGGAATACTGTTCAATATTTTTGTCGTCTATATGGGCAGGCCAACCATGTTCGAGGTAACTAATAATCTGCTTCAATTCATCATCTTCTTGAGTATAGCGTCTAATATCTTCAGAGGATAATGGTGTTGCTTTTATGGCAACTTGCAGTATATGGTGAATATCATTTTCCAGCGATATCGTTGCGATAATAGAATCTTCACTTTCCTGCTTCTGATTCGCAATTAATCGAGATAAAGCATCAGCTTGCCCAAACTTTTCAGTTGATTTATATAGGATTTGGAAATCATAAGCAAGCAACGTAATAGCCCAGCGTTGTAATCGATTCGCTGTATATGCAGGAATACCTGACTTCGATCCAAATATAGATAAAAGCGGCTTGTGGTCTGTTAAAAGCGTAAATCGACGACCATAAATCATTTTATGAAATTTCTTTACTGCAAAAACTAAGGCTAATCCTTCCTTCTCAATCTGGCTATATTTTCGCTCGGCTGAGTTAAGAGTTTGGGATACATGAGCAATTGGCTTTTCTTTACCATCAGGAAAACGATGACTGATAACGGCTCCAATTCCATAGTTTGAAGCATCGGCGGCTACAATTATTTCAAGCTTTGGATTATAATGAGTCAGCAACAGTTTAGAAGATAAAATCCTTTTTATTTCATCGAAAGAATCTTGGCATTCTTTTGTCCAGTGCCATGTTGTATTAGACATCAATAGTTGATTTAATGGTTGTCGCAATTTCTACATTTGGGGTACGAACATACTATAATAACCAATCATCCCCAAGAATGAACGAAGGGTTGTAACCTCAGTCGGTCTGGGCATATTTTTGATAGCATTTATATTGTCTGGATCCGGTTGACGACCATCTTTATCAAATATATATCCCAGGTATTTAACAGACTCGAGCAGAAATTCACACTTTTCTTTTTGTAACTGAAACCCAGCTTGTGATATTTTAGTGAGCACCACATCTAACCGACGCATTAATTCCTGCGCGGAAGAGCCAACAACTATAATATCATCCAAGTAAACTGCTACACCTTCGACGTTAGACAAAATGGTATTCATTATCTGCTGGAAAATTGCTGGAGCTGGCTTAACACCAAACGGTAATCGGTTAAATCGATAAAGTCCACGATGGGTATTAATGGTTAATAACTCCTTTGAATCTTCGTCAACTTCCACCTGTAAGTAAGCTTCAGACAAATCAAGTTTAGAAAAATAACGTCCACCGTTCAGTTTAATAAATAAATCCTCTGGCAAAGGTAATGGGTATGAATGATTTTGTAAAACGTCATTTAATCCTATTGAAAAGTCTGCACAAAGGCGAATAGCTCCGCTCGCTTTCTGAACTACTACAATTGGTGCTGCCCATGCCGAATAATTAACAGGTTGTATAACACCGAGTTTCTCTAGTCGGTCTAATTCTTTGTCGACCTTGTCAATAGCTGAATATGGAACTTGACGCTTTGGACGGAAAACAGGTTTTACATCCTGTCGTAGGTATAATTTTGCCTTCTCAATTGTGCAGCATCCCAATTTATTCTGGAACAAGTTTTTATGTTTCTGCAAAAGATCTTCTATCGTTACGACTTTCTTAGTTACATGAACTGTGGGTGGATCTCTAGGATTACTTGCGCTTTTCATTGTGCATATTTCATTTAATGGTACATCCCATAAATTTAGTTTATCTATCCAGTCTATACCAATAAGGTCTAACTCATGTCTGTTCGTTAAGTAACAATTTCCTGTAAAGTAATTACCTCGGAATTTAACAGAGCATTTTATCATTCCCACGAGTTTCAATATATCTCCGGATGCATTCCGTGCAGTGTGCTCTGTTGGTAATACTTTCGGACACCCAATTAAATACCACGTTCGTTTCGAGATTAGTGTGATATCTGACGCTGTATCCAATTGCAATCGAATATGAACACCATTAACAATTAATTCCACATATCTTCTTTTATTCGCTACGCTTAGAGCCAGTGTAGAATATACGCTGTTTATATACTTATTTTGGTACTGGTGCGGACGTCTGGTTCGTTTTGATCTTAAACTTTCTCTAGTTCGGCAGACTAATTCTTTGTGGCCAACTTTATTGCATATAGTGCATCTATGATTTCTAAACCGGCAAAATCTTGAGAAATGCCACGCACCACAATACCAACATTTAGTTGCAGGTTTAGGAGTTTTCGAGTGATATTTATGACTTTTGGTACTATTTTGTCTTTGACCTGTCTTAACAGCATGAACAGAATTTGATAGCACAGCACTTTTGGTTCCCAGCATAGCTGTATCTTGTTTTAGGTTTATTAATCGTTGACATTCAGTGGTGATAGTTTGTAACGTCATTTCATCATCATGTTCCATACGGGATAACAACTTCATGCGAAAGTCAGCATCAACAGGAGAGTTCAGACCAGAAATGAATAATAAGCATTTAAATTGATCACTGGTTAATACATTTAATTTAAATCGTTCTGCTTGTAAATTTACTCTTCCGGCGTACGTATAATCTTCATCAGCCTCTTTAGTCAGCTGTAGACAGTTATACCGGATACGGAATAAAGACGACTGTTCACAAAACATTTTATTTAGGATGTTAACAGTTTCATCGAAATTAACTTCTCGTGGATGTTTAGGCAGAATATGGTTTTTATACTTTTGATGCTCATTAGGACCAAGTTTCTGCAATAGCAGCCGGACTTTCTTTGCATCATCTATAGCAGCAAATTCAACTCGGAAAATATCTTCAATTCTGCCAAACCATGCTTCAAAAGTGTGACCACTGTCTGCATCAAATATAAATTCTGAAACTGGATTAAGGTATGACTCAATACTTTTATGTTCTGGAATCTCTTATTGGATAGATAGTTTCCCCAAAAGTGTTTCCAAGAGTTTCTGTTGAGAAGCTAACATCTGCTGCTGCTGTTGTTGTAATAATAACTGCAACTGTTCTAAGGAAATCGACATTTTTTTTTACTGCCAATAATAATATTAACTCCAAAAAACACCGGCAATTATAACAGCTGATTTATTTCCAAAATCTGAGTCACAACCTGTCGTATTATTATTTTGTTTTTGCCAAAATCCACGTCGCCAATTGTTATGACCTTGACGTCTGGTCTTTCTATCACACGACTTATCTACCAATCCGAATACGACTTATACGAATCTTCACACTAGGCCAACCAATGACGTTCAAGCGGTGTGGGCAGTTTAGCGTCCTTATTGGTCCTATGTCCTACGAGCCCTTCCACTTGAGTACAAAACACAATACCAGCTTCCGAATATGAATCGAATCGTTTGTTTCATGCATACTTGGTTTATATATCAATCACACAGACCGCAACGTACCATAAAATAGGAAATAATATTTGTACACAAATAAGCCCAAGAAGTGGCTGTGAATGTGGGAGGCAGTAGTTAATAAACTGAAAATAACTTAAGAACCGTAAATCGTACAATAATAAATTATAGGTCAAAACAAAGTTTATCATAAAAGGAATATAAATATCCATAGTGTAATTGTTGAGTAGTTATACAATAAGAATATTTATAGAATATTAGTCCATGAATAGTCCTTGGAATTTACCTGTAGTTTAATCTTCACCGGATATAACATTCAGTTAACTGATTGCCAAACAGATAAGCTTTAAGGGAAACCAGTGCTATAAATATTATAATACTTTTATGGCATTTTAATTGACTGAAGCAGTTAGGGCATATTTCAGGCATGGATAACCACCGCTTTCGTCGATGCGATTTTAGATAGCATAGTAGTTGGTTGTGAAACGTTTAGGGACAACTGTATCATGAAATTATATGGATTCACACAGACTGTTGTAATATGTTGAAGTTGTCTTTATTAAAGATTTTTTGGTGTTAATTTGAAATGCGACAAATATTCAAAGTTAAAAATCTGAGTCATACATTTGTCTATTCGACAATACAGTTTATGATGTTCACAGATCTTCAAACTGCTTGAAAGAGAAAACAACTCGAGGTGCATAATTACTAGCTGTTTCTTGGTTTGTATGTAACAATTGGAATTGACCGTTGTCCTAATCGACATTGAAACATGAGATCTTTCTGTCAGTACGTCTAAGTATCACTACGTTACAACAGGTATATCAAGCTGAGTGTAATACGGTTAACTGGGTCCTTTCATACGAACCTAAGAATTGTCTGAAGTCAATGAATAAAATTTGAAAGAAACTACATTCAGTCTTCTTAGATTAGTCTTATGATTTATTTAGATAAGAAAGAAATTGAATGCTCTTATGATAACTGAACAGACAGAGACTGACTAAACACTTCGATCTACAGGGAACTATTTAAATTAGTCGTCTTACTTGAGAAAATCTAAAATAATTAGTGACTTCTCAGTTCTCAATGAACGTGAAGCGATCAGAATATCATCAGTTTTAAGCATAGAATCACACATTCCAAGAATACACAATGTTTGGCGATAATAGTTTATGTAATAGAGTATGTGGTTTCAGGAAACTACGGATACTACTATGTAGGATCTATTCAGTGAATAAGACAGTATTTTTATGGGTTGGAAATGAAGATGAGTCAAAAATGCACCTCAAAAACAACTCATATAACCTAATTAGAAGTATAAAAATATAAAAACATAGGTCTTCAATATTTTCATCATCAGCCTCAACAGTTCATAAATTCATAATTTTACGATAGTGGTCGAAGTAAAACACACAAAAATAAGTTGTAAGTGAATTACACAATTTTACATATTAAAATAGTAAACCTTTACATTGACCACTTCTCAAATACGTCCGAAATTTCCCAATAATTAAAAAAAGAAACACTTTTACTGGTCAGAAATTTTATAAAAACTAATCACTTCATAAAATGCATAAATATGCAAAGAATATACATGAGATCATCACATAAAAAAGTACACATTCACAAATGCTAACGTAATCATTCTTACTATATCCGATAAAACGAAGAGAATAAAGACATACATATATCACAGTATAGATACTTTGAAAACATTTCTGCAATTATTGAATACTACATTTTACTCATAATAATTAGTATTAATCGAGTAGCATAGAAACTAATAACGAACAAAATGCTAATAGTTAAGTGGTATATAACAGTTCCTCACTATTTACACATGTTATATATATACATTTTTTTTATTAAATCACAATAATAACAAGAAAAATAAGTGAAAAAAAGAGAGGATAGAGATAATGAAAAGGATATCGGAAAAATAAATTATTTTTACAATTTCTTATTTGTTTGAAATGAATAAAGGAAACAGATGTTCTAAATTAATCCACACCTCTAAACGTGCTGGACAATGTGTAACATCTGGTCGACGATATGATGGTCCCCAACCTTTACCTAAACTTATATGTATAATCGGATTTTTGCATAGATTGTTTTTTTTTGCCCACAAATGAGTTTTGTGCAACTCGTTAAAATCTACATTATTACTATTATTGTTATTACCACTTAAATTACTGCTGTCGCCATTATGGTTGTTACCGGAATACTGACGACAAGATGATGATGACGCTGAAGATGATGAAGAAGACTGTTGTTGCAACCAGTTTTCATAACATGAAAGGTCGAAAACTAATAGAGAATAACCGGCTGGTACACGATATACGGGTCTATCGACAAGAAAGTCTTCAGTACTACTATTAAGGGATGAAGAAGAAGAGGAAGAAGAAGTAGCATTATGAAACTGCAAACAAGGTGATGATACAAATATAGGTAAGTTTGTAGCCATCGCTTGATTACTTAACCACACACAACCATAAGTGGTAAGTGTAAGCGAAATTCCCTGGCTACCTAGACGACAACATTGTCTCCAACCAGAAGATGATTTATACATTGATGAATGAACAATTAAATTTGGTATAAGAGATGCATTGTTGAATGAATCCACATAATTATAACACTTTTTGCATTGTTTTGAAGATGATCTGATGATACTACTGTTATTACCAATAATCCTATTCGTATGACAAGCAATAGAGGGAGTGGTCGAATAATTCTCGAGTTCATTAAAACTTCTATTACAATCTGATTTACAATTATATTTTACATGATTTGATTGATATAAAGTTAGTAAAGATAAATATATATAATCACTTTGAGATTTACTTCTATAATTTGAATGATTTTCCTTATGTATATATGCTTGTTTCGGAGATGAATACAGCTTGTCCTTTACATCACTATTATTATGGTCATCATCATTAATATTAACATCATTGTAGACAATATTTAATTTACGATTTGTAATTTGATACCATCTACGTCCAACATGATGATGTGATTCCCAATAGGAAATATTTGCCCATGGTTTAAGATGGTGTAGAGGAGAGGGAGAAGAAAGACGACTATGTAGGTAAGATTTCTCATTATTTATTGTAACAGAATGATCGCTAATAGAAATAAATCGGTTAAAATGTAGATTAGAATTTTGTAAAGGGTTATCATTTCTAGGGTTGTTAGAAGATAAGATGAAACTACAACTATGCATTTCATCATCAGAACTACTTACAGATGTGGAAGTAGTTGTTGGTGGTGCTGGTGAAAGTAGTGTTGTATGATTGAAATCTGTGGATGGAACCAAGTAAGTAGATAATTTAAAATTTCTATTGTTTCTCAATTTCTTCCATTTGGTTAAAGATGAAACAGGACTTACTAAATTCATGTGCAATTTTTGTTGTATTTTATGAAGAAACTGAGGTGAACAGTAAGTCAGTTTTGTTTTTGCATAGGTATCATGATTGGCAAGCAACGGAGCTGAAGAATTATTTATAATTGGATCATATGATATAACTAAAGAATTAAAATCGAAAATACAAATATTCATGAATGATGCGCCAAACAGAATAGGATTACTTGTAAAATTACCAAAATTAAATAGTTACAGGCGTAAAGACTTCTTAATGAAACTTTCAAAAGCGAATGGATAAAATTTTGGTCATACTAAGGTCAGGAGTGAGAAATTAAGTCAAAGCTGAAAACATATATATCATACATCTTTAGCTATCGCCTACTCGAATGAGCTGTTTAATATGATGGAGTGGTGGTTTAGTGGTTAAGACGTTCGACTTTCAGTTGTTAAGCTCAAGGTCCGAAACCCCTTCATCTAATCCAGTTTCAGTAACCACGTGGCATTATTAACCTTCACATTTAGAGAGTGGCTCGTACGCAAGTGCCTAGTGAATGCAAGTCAATTAAATCGAACAAAACCAGAAAACCTATCTGGAGCATAAGATGATAACAACCAACCCTTTAGAGAAAACCAGGATATCTTGAAACTGTGGTTTGATTATTAATTGGATTAAGCACTTAGTAGTTTCACCATTTTGCCTCCAATCATTGGGCTGTAAGTTTAAATTACATTAAAGCTCTGCTTATGGTAGCTGGTTAATATTATTAACCTTATTAGACAAAAAACATGGCTTAAAGTCAATTACATAAAAATGTAATTTGGTACCTATTTGCGCAAATTAATGATGGATTGCTCTTCAAACAACTGGAAGGATCATATTTAAAAGGGAAGCTATATGTACAAGAATTATCTTTCCACCTAGACAAAAACTGTTACCACTAAATTGTAATACAAGCCTGAACTGAGAAGCCATTTTTTAACCAGTGATTGTTTACCACAAAAGATACCATATTAACGCTATTCCGTATTTATTTAGACCGTTGACATATCTATATATTCGGCTCTATAAACGTAATAGTGTATTCTTTATCTTGAACAAAATTTGAGGTATCCTAAACTGTGAACTACTAATGTTATTTGTTTTTAATATATCGAAGTGCGATTGTCAAGACACTGCAGTATTACAATACGTGTTAATCGATAGTTATCATCGACACAGCAGCAAACAGCAAGAATAAAATGACATGTAAATGATCATGAAAACATACGGTTTATGCCGAATATCAAAATTTTACAACCACGATTTAATAATCCTCAGTACCATCAAGTTATGTAAGCAAAGCCATTTTTTAACCAGTGATTGTTTACCACAAAAGATACCATATTAACGCTATTCCGTATTTATTTAGACCGTTGACATATCTATATATTCGGCTCTATAAACGTAATAGTGTATTCTTTATCTTGAACAAAATTTGAGGTATCCTAAACTGTGAACTACTAATGTTATTTGTTTTTAATATATCGAAGTGCGATTGTCAAGACACTGCAGTATTACAATACGTGTTAATCGATAGTTATCATCGACACAGCAGCAAACAGCAAGAATAAAATGACATGTAAATGATCATGAAAACATACGGTTTATGCCGAATATCAAAATTTTACAACCACGATTTAATAATCCTCAGTACCATCAAGTTATGTAAGCAAATCGCTTTCGATATGGTTTGAAATATTGTGCATTCATTCCATAGAGAAACTAACAATATAGGCAAAATTTTAACAATAAAGTAGGTGTAGTACATACCACCACAAAATTTACAACAAACTAGAGCATATATATGTATATCACCCTACCTGAATCACACGACTGATCCATCCGAATTAATGAAATTTGTGTTTCTGCAGATGTCGATTCTGTTGACGATGAGGAAGATGATGACGACGAAGATAATACAGACGGTGGTAGTAATAATGGCATCATATCCTTAGGATATTCTGAATCCGTATTCAATCCCTTAAGATGAGATTCATGATTACTACAATTTGGATGATTATGTTTCAATCCCAGACAAACAATATCTGTAAAATCGAAGGAATGAAATATATTAGCGAAATGATTCGATGTAGTGAAAAATTTATTTTATGTAACTCAGCAAGAAGAGAAGTCCTCAACTCTCAGCTACTTCTTTTGTTCAATATTAACTGACTTGTTAAGTGGTTATTAATAGACATAACCTTTAACATTCATTGAGGTGTCATTAGTAGTCAAACTTCATAAGTTAATATTCCCAGAAAACTACACTGAATACAATAACCTAAATGATATCAGAGGCTCTGATCGTGAAAATTAAACCTTGAATAATAACAAAATTACAAAAATACTCCAGAGATAATTGGGTTTAGTTACATATTAGACATTTCACTAGATGTCCAATGAATTCACTTATTATATTATACTAAATAAAAAGATAAACAAAACCCATTATTACTTTATGATTTGTGTAATCTTCATTTAACAAAATGTCTTGTGTACGCAATCCCAATTAAAAATTACAGTTATTCCTACTTAGAACAAATATGACCCAATAATAAAGTGTTAGGAAATAATCAGACGAAGCAATTAGAATCTCTACTTAAGTATCATATAATTGCGTAGTCAAGCACATTTCAATACACTTAGTTTCAAGTATATAGTAAAACTATTACACACATACTTGTAAAACGAGATGACAGAAAAAAATCACTAGGAGAAAACAAAACTAATGGCAAGGAACGCGGAGAAAAACAATAGTTGAGTTAAGCAGAACAAGAATAAAAGTCCATATCTATTGAGAAAAATGGGAAGATACATATAAACTATTGTGATGTATTTTTTACACTCAGTTAAATCTTATATACGTTTAAATCAATCAGCAAAACAGATCTATACATGAAATATGTATAATTGTAATACAAAACTATTAATCAAAATAAAGTGATTACAAGTAATAAGTGATAGTAACTTTATTGTGTGATTAAGAGAACGGTAAACTAATCTATACTGAATTAACTTAGAGAATAAGACGAATTCTCGCATTGTGTAACATGAGTAGATACATATTACGAACTCTGTAAGGTTACAGTCTAAATTACAAATAAATTTCAGAAGTGATACTTGTCGCAAATTGATATCAGTTTGGGTATTAGTGAGAACCGGAAAGGTTTCAATACCAGTCTTGTCTTAAAATAAGACTCCCTAGGTATGCACACCAATGACTCTATCGAGGATAGAAACCAGGACCTTGTAGTCTCCCAGTGAGTGTGATACTTTTAGGTTAGTGGGATAGGAAACCAAGTGGTTCACCTTTATAACTTCGGATAATCGTATATGTATTGATGACAAACTTCGAAATGAGTCTCCGAGGTTCTATTCGAAAGTTGTAGGCTATGGAGACTGAGACAGTCATTACCGACAGGATTGCATAATTGTCATTCTATATCGCGAAATGATCGGGGCTATTTACGTAAACCACTGTATTTTAACTCAGTGGTCTAAGACTAAGGAGATCAGTGCAAGACGTAAAGGTCCTCATTTCTATCCCTGATGGATTAATTGTTGCAAACTTCTAAGGAGACCTAAAAGACGACGAAGTCGCTGTCGATTGTCCCCTCGTTTATAATGGTAAACCAATTGATGTACGTTCGTTATGAAATTGTTTTACATACCAAAGTAATTTTCATAAAACTAAATCAAACTTCAAGTGTAAAAGGGGTGGTTAAGTTGTCGGAATCAAAAATAAGAAGGACTCATATAAAGGAAGCATACCTAGGACAAATGCATTTCAGCAACGCAAAAGTACTTACTCTACTAACGTTATTAAAATTCTGTAACCAAATACAAATTCATGGTCTAAATTTTGACTTACGGACTGTTTACACTGGAATAGGCAAAGAAAGCTTCGAACTTATTAAACAACTCTCGTATACATAGACTTATGAATAATCACTCCAAATAGAAGACAGCAGCACAACCGATAACATTGTTAATAACTTCAAAAGACAACGTACGGACACAAAAAGAGTCCAAATTACTTTAGGTAGTAACATTAAATATTGAGTTCTTTCAATTAGATCATAGTTGGATAAACTTCCAGAGCTTGAAATTATCAGGAAAGGTCAATTAACTCATCAGTAACCATATATTACCATACAAAAAATACGTTATGTATGTTGTATTCGTAACAGATTCATCTCAGTTGGTGTATCATTTAAAACCACAGAGCACTGAATAATTGTTTTGTTATGGTATGGAGCATTTCGCCAGTTTGTATCTACCATGTCGTAAGGAACAGAAACCAGGGCCAGGAGTCCCAAAAGTAAACATCAAACAACTAGAACCAATCGATATGGATCCTAAACGAATATCGATTTTGGACGACGAAACCGCCAAATGGAAACAACCTCTTCTACAAAAGCACTTCAACTAACGTCTTCTGTTATTAATCATTAAAATGAGAAATTCACTAACAAATCTGAATGATTATTATCATTAGAAAAACTACAGGTAATTAATTCGCTAGTGTAAAAATGCAAACAACTCTGTTAACTTTCATTATTAATTCACTGATGCTTGAAAATCAAAACAATTATTGAAAAAGACACTCCGAAAGCAGTCAGATTACATCACGGTTACACTAAAATAAAAGGTTGATCATTATTTGGCTTTTTAACATAAAAGCTGTAATACGTACAGGAAAAATTAGTTGACATTGATTCTATTAAACTATATATAAAGTATAAACGATATGTATGGAATCATTATGATATAGAAATAACTTTGTTTTCTTTAGAACTGGTTGTTGTGTTCTGTTATTACGTGAATGAAAAGAGCTAACAACAGAAAAAACTGACTCATACTCTCTGTACTTTTTTCACCGAAGCGAAATGATAAATTATATATATATATATATATATATATATATATATATATATATATATATATATATATATATATATATATATATATATAAGGGTGGGCTTGGTTTAACCAGCAAATCTACACATCTACAACAAACAGGCATACTTAGAAAAAGCGGAACAAATGACAACTGAAAACAGCACCATGAATGACACATATGAATAAACTGGCGCCAACGACAACGAGAAAAAAACGAAAGTAGACAACGCTTAAAGAGTATAAAATCTTATCTTTAATTCATCAAATTATATAAAGGTCAATAACACGAAGCTAATGATCATAACAGTAATGTACAATATATAAATATAAACAAAAACAACAGTGAAAAAAGCTCCCACCCTCCTTGCTGTTCACACACCCACACACAACATACATTAATACGCAATCATAGACACAAAGAAGCAGATAAAATGAACTCCTTTTAGTAAAAGTGAGATGAGAAACAGTAAGACTATTATACTTAGTTATGGTAGTAGTGGTACTATAATTCTCCGAAGCCACTAATACTTAATTACATTTATCTTTATCCTATTTATATAGAACTATTATCTTTTTTGTACCAATTATTGTGTAAGACAATAACGAGTATTAGAAAAACAAAGGGAATTCAGTAAAGCATACAGAAAATACCATAATGAAAAGTTCACATTATTCCTTCCTACAACAGAATCGGTAATAAGCAGATGAGAAAGAAAAAGAAATCCAGTCTAATATGTATTATATAAAATCATGCACAAATACATGGGTAAACACTACATTGACGAGTTCAAAATATTAAAAAAATGGTATATAAACATATTCGCCTGGTGAACATCATCATGCATCTGTTCACATTAAAACAAATGAATGAAAGTCAAATCCGAAAATTATGATATATATATATATATATATATATAACGAACTGTTTGAAGCAGATAGAATTATGCATGTATATAAATTTTTGGTAGTAATGAAGTTATATACGGGAAAAATATATGTTATGAGAAATCTTCAGTAATAATTAATAAAAATATATCTATCCATAGTAATGATGTATACCGACAGATGAAATGTTCAGATAACAATTTACGAAAATAAAACTTTACGTAGTGTCAAACGTTATCAAAGGTCAAAATAGTCAGCAAATGAACAAGAATGTATTTATAATAAATATTAATTATTTGAATAGGTTAGTTTCATAAGGAACCGATATTAGCTGAAGAACAACTACTGACAATTATGGAGCAATGAATAACTGTTCTCTTAATATCACTTATCCCTCAGAAACATGAGTCCGTATCTCCAAAATGGATCACTTTTAGTTTTGCGGCCAAAACCGAATTAACTCACAAGTTAACACAATCACTTTAGCATACATCATGCAGAGAGCAAGATAAAACAGAGAAAGAGGGCGAATTCAATACCATCTAAAAAATAAATTGCATTGAATATGACGGATACCATACACTGGATGAAGTAGATTCTCCCTCCAATAACGTAATTACGAATATAAACTAATTGTAAAATGATATAACATGTCATTGCTTATATCAAAGGATGAAGATAACCGCGGACATGGATATAATTAGAAAGAAGTCAAAATTCTGGGAACATGGTATTCACGTCAATTTGCAATCAAGGGGTAATATTGACAAACTTTATTAACCAATCTTTAGGGTAAAGGTTACACAGTCACCTGTTCATGAGCCAATCAAACCAGGATATCAACAGAAAAAGAGAGAAAAATGAGACCAGTAATAATTGTGAAGACATATAATGAAAGACTAAGTCACCGGAACAAGCTAATTTAACACTTGTGAAATAATTAAATAGTTTATATGTACTTGAAGTAAACAGTGATTCTGTTTGGGACAGTGATGAGAGCTTTCCAATTACATTTCTAAGCTCAGTGAGTAAAACGTGATTAATACCACCCAACTTTAGTATGAATTTATTTCCTTTTAAATTATTCGTACACAGCTAGAAAGCTTTTCAACTGTACTAACAATCACATGCTATAGGTGGGCCTGAGTCATTTGTTATTTAAGTTTCAAAGCATCTTTTCTTGTTTCATGAACTATTTTACTGTTTACTTAGGTAAATAGCTTCCTGTCGCCATACTGTTTCAAAATTGTTACAGTTA